TTTATAATATTTGGTTCTACTTTCGAAGAGTGATATTTCATCATTAGAGTTCCTTGAAGTTGTACGTTTTGTAAATTAAAAACATCACCAGAAAATTGCACAATGCAATTTGATTGTGTACAAGGGCAATGAGGGTATTTATAATAGGAAGTTATTGATGTTGCAATTGGTGATGCTTTTTCAATGCACACAATTGTTGAATTTTCATTGTTGGTTGGGCATATTCTAAGTAATCTTTGTGAGAGTAAATCAGTCATAACTTTGTAATTTGAATTATTAATTGTAACACTTGAGTATTCTGTAATCGAAGTTTTGGATGAAACAATATCAATACATGTTGTCACGGAAGAGCCAATTTCAATATTTTTAATAGCCAAAGTACCGTTATTAATAACAAATAGAATGTTTGTATTCATATTGTTTTGTATATCAATTTTTAAAGTTGCTATGTCCATATTCATAGTGACATAATATGTTTTACTTGTAGTAATTTCATAGTTTTCAATAATAATCTCTGTGTTCAAAATTAAATCTCCAAAAGTGTTGTCAACAACTATTTTCTTGATATCAATAACTTTGGTAGAACTTAAGTTACAATTCGTTGCCAAACAGTAAAGTTGATTCCAATACGACTCTCCACTGATTTTATAACTTCCCTTAAATGTAGAAGAGAATACCAAATCAAATAAAAAAGGCAGCGTTTTGAGTCCACAAAACAAATTGGTATTTCCATTATATGTAGTTGCTGTGGGTACAGTCGAACTTCCACTCAAATAACATTTTTGACTTGTACTACAGTCCGAGTTGGAATGCATAACAGCATGTTCACATTTGGTCACATCTGTAATTAAATCAAAAGAACTGCTCTTTGTTTTGTAATAAAAAATGACATCATTTGTTAAATAATTAGTAGTATAACCAAAAGTGGGTGTAGTTTCAAAGTATATTGGTATATTGGTTTGGGAATACATATATTTCTTAATTTTGACAGAACCGAATATATAACACCCTTCTTGTATGACAACAAGTTGGTTTAAAGTTAATATAACGCCAGTTTCTACAAATAATGATTGATATGATTTCATAAATATTATTGTATTCCACACATTTAAATCGCCAATCACTGTGTTTGTATCTGTATATGTTGTGTGTAAGTAAAGGTATGATGAATTATAAATACAGTCTGGATAATTGAAAATTGTCGTTTGCATCGCAACGTTTCCATTTAACATTTTACAAGAACAATCAGTTAATTGATTATTCTTTTTTGGTTTCAATATAAATCTGTTATAATTTTCACGTCTGCATATTGAAAGAACATCATATTTTTTTGCGCTAATAGTAGAGTCTTGCACGTACACGTTTTTGATTGTAACAGCATTTCCAGAAAAGAGGTAGACGCATTTTTTATTAACAAAATAATTGTCCAACATCAGAATGTTATTTAAAAACCCCAGGATTGGATATACATCAAATGTATTTGAAGTGAAGTCAATATTTACATATAAATTGTTAGTGTCATTAAACGTTGTTTTAAACACCAAGTACATTCTTTCATTGATCATCGATTTAATAAAGGTTGGTTTGTTATATACAAAAACTCTAGCATTGATTGTAGAGTCTATTTCTGTAAACTCAGTATTGATCCATTTAAAATCTAAAATAAGTTTGTCTATATTCAGATTGTGGACTGTAAATGGTTGCTTGGGGTTGTTAGTCTGTAATACAACTTTACTGTAACTCCCTCCATTAAATTTTAATTGTGAAAGACGAACAGTTGAGTCGTAGTTAGGAGTAAATGTGATAATTTTTTCATTTACAGAGGATATGTACACATATTCAATGCCATTGTTCAAAATGATGGAATTAAATCCATATTGATTACCTTTTTGGCACCAATAAATATTTCCTTGATCTTCATAAGTGTTACAATACTTTGAGAAAGCATCAGCAAAGAGAATAAGATATACAACATTCATTATATTTCCAAGTTTATACAAAGAATATATATTATTATTTGTCATTGTTCTTAAAATGACATTTTTTAACATAATAACTTAGAATGTTTTTTACTTTCATATTATGAATGATGACAATTTAAAATTAATTTTCAACGAAATTAATTGTTGTTTTTGTGTTTTGAAAATTCTATTGTCCAAGAAAAAAAAATCCTGAATCACCATTTTATTTTCATATTACTATTCTAATTTTTATATAAACGGTAATATTTACCCAATCCCTAAAGACGGCACTTATCTACAAGTTTTTGAACAGATTCTATTCTTTGTATCAATTAATTGTTTTTAGATGGGAGTTTTAAAATAAAACAAACATTAATTGTTTTCAAAAACCCATTACATGTCAAAAAATGTATTATCAATATTTTATTATTAAATTAAATTATATAGTATTGTACAAACCGTATAAACACAATAGTAATAGTAAATAAACACTTTTAATGTGTAATGAATTTGATTCTTTTTTGATTATTAGCTTTAAAACTATTGATTGGCTACTTACTTTAAATAACATTTATCATATATATAATAATATATATTTTATTAATAAAAATATTTATAATTTATCTTTAGTAATTTATATCTTATACAAAATGTTATATCCAAAACTTTAACAACAAAATAATCAAATAAAAACACTTCAAATATATCAATTTACACTCTGAAGTCTTATTTTAGAAAATTTGTCATAAAAAATGGGCATCTTTTCATGTAAAAATTTTTCAAAAACTTGATCATCGTGATCATAAATTCCATTTATCCGAATTTTTGACTGCTCACAGAAGAATTGATTGATTTGTTTCCCCATCTCCTGTATTTCTTCTTTCTTCAAAAGGAGTTTGTTTCTATAGTAAATAGAGTTGACTCTCTCTTGTTGAATTGTGAACCTTGTTTTAAAAGGAAAAGTAGACTCAAAAAAGAAGCCACACCTTCTGAGCACATCGAGTAAATAATTTTGTTTTGCATACAACCGATTATGTGCGCAAATTCTCAACATTGATCTTTTATTTCGTTCATCACAATCAACGGGTGAAGGATAGATGGTGTTAATCAATTCCTCGACATCCACAAACGTTTCTTGGAACATAATACAATGAATTCTTGGTAAATCTGCTGTTTTATTTGTTCTTTTCTTTGGTTGGATCAACGAAAAGTCTCCAAAGAAATTGAACAAAGCCAAACAAACTGCTTGGAGATAACACGTGTCTTCTCTCAGTCTCCTTTCTCTGATTGCATTCTTTGATTTCCCAGTAACTCCCTCCTTTTTCTCATACAGAATTCTTTGTGGCTTCTTCAAGTACTTTCCAGTGATTAAATTGACTATTTTCGAAAATAAAGATAGTGGTTCTTTATTCGCCTCTTCTTTGGTTTTGGAATTAAAACTGGAATAAATTATTTCGTCTTGGCTTGTTTTTTGTAAACCTCTTTCGTTGATCTTTGTCAAGAATCGTAATGTGGTGTGAATATTTGCAAGCTCTACCGACATCATTTGGATTTACAGATATACAGTGATTAAATAAGAATGTAAATGAACTGAGTCTAACTCTCTTTCAATTGCAATTTAAAATAATTCAAACATTTTTTAAATTTATTAATATTATATTAGTTATTTTAGTTTGTATTTTTACTATTTCTAAATAAAAAAATTTTAGAATTTATTATGTTTTATTTTCTCCTTTCTTTTGTGAATTGGAAAAAAAGATTTATTTCTAAAAATTAATTGTGCGATTTTTTTAATATTTCTAATAATTATAATAATAATTATAATAGTATCTAATAATATAAATAATAAATTATTATATAATAAATTATAACTTAATAATAATTTATTGACAATTAAAATTTTATTATAAATATACTAGTTAAAAATATTTGTTTTTAAATCCAACATCAGAGAAATAAAAAATCTTAAAAAAAATATCCTAATTGATAATAACAAATTTATCTAAAATATAATTAAATATTACCAATACAAAATAAACATTTCCTTTAAAACGCTTTCAATTCTTGACACCAAACCACTAACTATAATAATTTACACATTCAATTTTCAAATACTTCTTTTGACCACATTTGTTTGATATTCTCGCACATCGACAAATTCATCAGATGACTCAGTTGATGATATTTCGACTGCATTGTCTTTAGTATTTCCCATATGTTGTTCCACCTTTTTACTTTTGCATTCACTTGGTTTTACAAACGACAATTTATTCAAATCCAACCCCGACAAATCGGACATCCCATTACTCTCCCACTCTTCTTCCATTTGATTATTTTGTGTGTTGTTCTCAGCTCCTTCAGTTTTAATAGTTTTACTCTTCTCAACTCTTTCAACTGGTTTTGCTCTCTCAAATGTTGGTGTCATTAACATAATGTCATTCTCATCCCAATCCATCCAGTCTGCGATCACTTCCACTCGTTTCGCACCGCTTTTCAACGTGTCTTTCAAGTCCACATTTTCTGTATTTCCTTTGCCTTCTTTCGCCTTTTCACCAATGTCATTCTTCCCATCTTTGTCGTGTAAAGTACTTTCAAACTCTTCGACTTTCGGGGGAATAGCGTTGATAGGGGCAGTGTCCTCTATCTGTCCAATTCTTATTCTTTTCACCGCCATTTTAATCTCTTGTTGCAGTTGTTTTTGTTTTGCTTTCAATATTAATTCGTTGCTAAACACGTCTCCCCCATTGTTGAACACTTTACTTCTTTTCTTTGTTGTCGTTTTCTTTCGATTGCATTTCTTCTTCTTTTCGGTGTCTTCTTCCTTCTCAATTGGTTCAACTTTCTCTCCACCAAAATTTTCAAAGTCTTTACTTTCTTCCTTCTTTTCTTCCATCGCAGTGTCGTCTCCAACATCTTTAAATTGCTCTCCCATGCCCTTAAAGAATTTTTCAAGTTCCAAGTTCCACCCTTCTTTCCCGTTTTGTATTTCTTTTTGAATCCATCCAGACATCATTTTCCGATTATTTGGTCGATTGTACCTCATGTCTAGTAACATAATAGCTCCAAAATCATTCTTATGTCTGATGACTCTCCCTACAGCTTGATTCACAGCCCTCATGGCTTGAATAGCATACCACTGATTCCCATCTACTCCTTTTCCTTCTTGTTGGACAACGGCATTGTTATACTGTTTCTTCATTTTGACATTCAAGTCGCCCAAATTAGGGTATGGGATCCCAACGATGATCACAACTCTCGCTAAATTGTCTCCAAAGTCTATCCCCTCACTCAACTTCCCTCTAAAAACTCCCAAAAAGACGGCGCCTTGATTTGCACACTTCTTATATTCCTCAAAATCTCTCAAAAAGTCTTTGCGGCGTTTCTGTTCAATAAACACCGTCTTGTGCTTTCTCAGTTCGTTTAACGTTTTCCGACATTCCCACAGCTTATGGATCTTCTCCATTATTTTGTAACTCGAAAAGAATACCAACCCACCACCCGGACTCTTTTGGAGTATTTCAAAGATGGCCTCCCCACACTTTTCAACCATTTTCTCATCGTTCTCATT